GCTGTTTTTATTACTTTAAAGCAACTAAAGATCGATATATTAAGTTTCGCATGAAACTAATTAAGAAACAATCTCAGAATATTTTCATCTCAAGAAACAGATGTAAACCAGATCCACTCATTGTCAAAATCAAAGAAGAATCCATATTCTAGTACCTAAAACGCAATAGCTTCTAGAAGAAAAAATGAAATTAAGTAAAGTCCTACAATAAACGGATAACTTTGTATTGCTTCACTATGATTGTGTTTATTGTAATAATCAAATAAATGAGTAATAATATTGTTAAATGTTTGTTCTACAATTTTCGTTTGATATGAATTAAAAACTGTATCTGCATTTGATAATAATATCACACCAATATTAGTCAATGGATCATAGAACATCGCCGTTCGTGTACCAACCACTGCACCATGATGTCCAAATACAATATGATTTTGACTCTGAGATGTATAATTCTCATAACTCCATAGAAGACCACTTGACATAAATGGTGGTGAAATAGAAAAATGAACTTGACGAATTAGTGCTACTGATTGTGAATTTAGAATTTTTACTTTATTTAATGATGTACCATTATTCATAAACATTTGTAAATATTTTACTAATGATAGAGCTGACATTCTTAGCAATCCCGATGGCCAATCTAAATAGCCAAATAAACTAATATGTAGCCATTTTGTACCATTATCATCGACAATATCTTCAAATCCATCAAAATCAATATTGAATAACGTTGTAAGTCCAATTGCTTCATTTTTAGTTACATTATAAGCATATGGTTGTACTAAATGTATTTTTTGTTCATCACTAAATCCTGATAGAGCATAGCTTGCATCTTGAATATCTAATGGTTCTAAAATATTTTTTCTAATATAATTGTCATACGAAATACTTGTTATAATTTCAATTATTAATGCAGCAACAGTTGTTCCCATATTTGAATAATGATACTCGGTTCCCACTGTTGAATTTAACCAATTATTTTTAGAATATAAACTACCACCTGGTATTAAATAATTTGAATATAATTGTCTAATTGTTGTTTTTGTATAATTATCATATGGTGATATTAGACTAAATTGTGTTCTAGTATCAATAGTTATGCTAGCTGTATGAGTTAATAAATGTTTCATTGTGATTATATCATTTGGATAAAGTGGATGATGTAATTTAGATAAATTTACTGTACTAAGATAAATATTTACATCACTATCCAGATTTAATTTATTCTGTTCAACTAATTGCATCGCAGCAATAGCTATAAATGTTTTTGAAATTGATGCTAATAGAAATATTGATTGATCAGATATTAATTTTTTATTTTCAATTGATTCAAAACCAAATGATTTTTGATAAAGAATATTTGAACGATCAAACACAATCACTGATGCTCCAGCTATATGAGCGTGATTTATTTCATTACCAATGAATTCGGTGGTTGTAGAATAGGATGAGTATACTTCGACATAAAAACAGTTAAATATGGTGAAAAGAAATAATTTTAAATACATCATTTTAGCTGAGAAGGTAAAAAAAAGAATAACACTTAAAGAAACCAACGATTTTCTTTAACTCGAAAGATTCTGTCAACAATGATAAGTGTATTATGAAATAAAAAAATTTATTTAAGAAAAAAGTATCTGATTAAATACATTGTGAAATAGTTTTGAAGTAGAAGCAAAAAAGATAATATTTCATTCTTGTGCTTCAAACGGCTTATTAGAATTCTATGTCAATATTCATATTTTTACTCTATTTAGGTTGTATGTAAGTTTACAAAAAACTCGAAAAATCAGATTTTATTGTTTTGAATATGTCGATTAATACAGATGTTAAACTATCATAATAGTAACTTGTTGAAACTTCATCGTTAAAGTTTCTTATCCTTCCATCATCATATTTTTATATAATATGCTTATAGCAAAAGTTTCTTCTTAAATCCGAAAAATGGAGGAATGAAGACTTCATTCGGTTCTGCCTTGAGAAACGTTCACCATTGACGGCCCTAGCAAAAGCTAAAATGAAAAGTAAAGAAAGAGAATAAAAAAGGTGGGCCAAATATACTTAGCAGGTAACAAAACAAAGCACCTCAAAAAAATAACTGAACCGTGAAGAAGACATTATTCTGTGTTCGTCCAAGAAAATATCAACATTTTACAGCACACAGCCGGTGCTCTTTCTTAATGTAAGTTCAATTGTCATTATTGAAATTTTCATATTCCGCAACATCAGATGATAGTTTTTTACTAATCCACACTTTAATTATGTTGCTTCTCAGGATAGAATATATTGCGGTACTCTGTGTCGTGAACTGTTGGTTTCCTTTTCATCTATACTCAATCGCCAAAAATATTATTATTTCATATTGCGTATCCTTAAAGCTGTCCATGATTGGGGAATTTCGGAAAATATTGTTTTTTACCTTGGCATGTTATGACTCCCTAAAACTCCGTCCAATCTGGCTCAAAGGTTTATCATAGCTGCCATGGCTGAATCTCCGTGGTATTCTTTTTTTATTTTGAGATATACTACTTTGTTCAAACGTTATCGCCGAAATACTCAAAATCCTTTCAGAGACCTCGATTTTTGAGTTTCACAACGCTATATCGAAAGGATATTGGCTGTGAAGAAGTCCTTCGTTTTTATTGAAAATGATTTTTATTCCATTTTCTTCATGCAAAATATTTCTGTGTGTGAATGTGTGTTTGTTAATGCTTTTGTTTAATTCTTCCAAATTACTGTTCCCAAGCGTCAAAAAAAAATCTAGTATCGCCCGATTCATCTAGATTATTAGATTTTTACTCGATTGTAACTAGTGTGTAACGACAGTGGAAATCTAGTAACTGGGCGATTATTAGATTTTTTCTAGT